ATCATGCAGTCACCCATCTTGCTAGTTTCATCATTTTATGGACAGGACCGATCGATGGAACTATGTGGCAACTATATTCAATTTTTAGACTCTACAACTACGCTTCTATCGGGAAATCCTAAACTTGCTTTTCATTTGTTATTCTACACGATGACAATATGTGATGAAAGTAATTGGAAAGAGAATGAGAATAAGCAGTACTCAATGATCAGTATATCATTTTGAATTCGTATAAAATTTCAATAAAGTATGTAAAAATATGTCATTGAATTTTTGACAAAATTGTAAAGAAATTCCGTAGTAATTTCTCCGTGTGATAAGGGAGATACAAACACACGTCGAGGACTATGGTTATTAGAAGAGATAGGCTGCTGCTTTATGTCAGCAGGAGGGACTGAACAGACAATTCAATATCCGCGAGCTTTCGAACGATTTGGACTAACCGCAAATACTTCGAATATACAACAATTATATAATTTATCTTACAAAATCATTCTACAAATTTATTTTCTATTTTATATTAATTCTCGCACATTGAATGCTAGATAATTGTGTTTGCTTGACTTATTTGCTTGACAATAGATATCCGTACTGTTTTAACATGAAATTCAATCTCTTTAATAAACGATTCGTTCCAAAAAAAATTTCTCCATATTAAATGATTGAAATGAAATTCAAATTAAACTTTAATTTTTATGCTCCATAAAAATATCGACAAAAATATTAGAGATCCATAACTTTCACTTTAAAATGTTGTAAATGAATTTGAAAAAAATTCTATCCACTTTCAACGAACGTGCAAAAGTCGTTAATAACCCACACAAGTGGTTGATGCGATTTTAAACAATTAAATAAAAATGTTCGTGATAAAGTAGCACCATTTTTTTTGCACTTCATAAAAACAAAAATGCAGCAGACATATTTTCATTGAAAAGCTGTATCTTGTATAAAATTTGAAGCATTTTAGGACGCATGATCTTTTTTTGATATTATACCTTAATATGTAATTATTTACAATAGCACGTAGAAAAAATTCTATCGTAGAAAAGAAAATTAACGAGATCTATTAAAAAAACAATGCTTTTGTAGGCTTTTTAATTAATATCTTATTACTAAATTTGCATTTATTTATTATGATTATGCATTTATTTATGATTATTGTATGTACATATACATGTATGTTTGCTCGTTTCTAAATGATTCAATTCAATAAATAATTTTCGATGAGGGAACGGCAACGTTGTCCATATTTTTTGATTTTAATTTCTATCATCAATAATGCTGTAGGGCAGTACTTACCTAAGTCGATATGACAGAATGTGACACGAAAATGGTAAGGTGACACCCCAAAACCTGGAACACTTCTTCACTTCTAGATTAACCACTTCTTCACTCGATCAATATCTTGAACGACCCTTTCTTCTAACAAACAAATGCCGACATACCCGTTAGAGGAAAAAAAATATCATCACAAAACATTGAAAAATCACCGAAATCGGTGAAAAAGTCATTCATTGTCAGTGTTTCTATTTCTTTTTTTTCATTCATTATCGCTGCGTTATAAAATAATAGGAAAACTAAAATGAAGGAAATATAACATAGCATCATTTTTTTTAGCATCATTTTTCTTTTGTCAAAATTCGTTCATATTGTTTTAGAAAAATTAAGCATAATTCATGAAAATTTGGCTATATCGATGGTTATCTCGAAAAGTGAGTTATTTTTTAATTAATAAAAGTTAAATTATCTTCAAATATTTGTTAATCAATCAAATTGAAAAAGAAAAAGTTTTAGAAATAAAAATATTTGTATTATTTATTTATTTATTGTACTGTTCTGTAAAAAATAAATATATATTTCAAGAAATAAGAAATTTTATTAAAAATAATAAAATAAATAAAAAAGAATTGTTTATTGAAATAATTGTTTATTAAAAATTCTTTTTCTGATTTTAAATTTAAAATATTATGTTTTCTACATTTTCAGTTCCTGACGAATAGAACATTTTGTTAGGAATTCGTCACGTTATGAACCATTTTCAAGTTCGGTCAAGGAATGTTGCTATTTGCATATGATGTTCTTTACTACTTAACATTCCTAAATCCTTTAATTCATTCCGTGCCCCAATGAAATTTTGCCCATTGTCTGAGGTGATCCTTTCACATCAGCCTCTCCGAGCAATAAATCGTTAACAGTTCAGAAAAGCGTCCGTATTCAGATCAGTTGCCAATTCTAGATGTACCGCCTTTGTTACGAAACATACGAAAATGCATAGGTCTTTGTGGTGATTAAATATGGATCTGCGTAGTCCACACCGCAAGAAGAAAACGCTCGTGCTGATGTTACGCGAGAAGCCGGCAATTGACTCATCTGGGTCTCTATTGATTGAGGTCGTACGCATCTTTGTATGATTCTCTTAATGATATTGGCATGACAATGGCCAATATTACTCGTGTATCGATGCTGCTATCTACTGTGAACCCACGTGTAGTTTTGTAAACGAATGTCGTGACGGTAATTTGATGTTTTTGATTGTAATGTATGGCTGCGTGCGTGAGCCTACCATCCTCGTGACTCCATCCGTATCCAGAAAAATATTAAACACTTGGGCGAGGAATAGAGCCTCTGACTTGAATAGTTGCAGCGATATTTTCTAAATACTGAGACCGCGTTACAATTCCACGTTCAATTCCACGTCCAATTCCCTACTTGTGATTTGATCTAATTTTCTAAATAGGAGCGCGACTCTCCTAATGATTAATGCCGCAAGGTGGTTGTCCACGTCATCAATAAGTTCTCTTATTGAGTTGAGAATGCTTCTGTATGAGAGTGAGAACTAATAATGAATTTAGACGATGTCGCCGGAGAGCCGTGGAATTGTCTAAAGTTTCCCAGGCTATCTGGTAGTTAGCCTCGGAAATTCCTGACGTTTGAATCACGCGGGCAGCAGCGTAGTGTTATGTAGCAGGAAGTGGAATCGCTGAACGCCAGAGAGAGAATCGTTTTTTATGAATTAAAGATAGAAAACTCGTCGCGGAATCTGATTCATTCACTGTAATTAGCATCGAAAGATGGCAGTCGAATAGTTGGCAGTTTGACTCAATAGCTACAAAAGAAGCTGAGGCTAATAACGACTTAGATTCTAGAGAAAAAAAGTCTATTTTCCACACTAAACTAAGAGTGCTTACTCAAAAAGCTTCAATATACTCGAATACAACACAGCAATTTTTGCAATTCTATTTAGACACTCATAGGAGAGGACTGACATCCGACAAATTAAAAATTGAACCTGATTTGCATTGTCAAAGATACTAATCTTTGTTTACATCTATCTTCCATAGACGTTAGCCTAATTGCTAGATCCCACAGTCTAAGATCAAAAGAATTTGGTAAGGCTGAAATTCAATTTAATAATTAATGAAACATTAAATTCCACTAAATTAATAAAAATATGATTTCAGTTACATATACTAAAATACTGAAAAGAAGTTTCATAGCCTAGTAGAAACCTATTACCTTATGTAAAATACACAAAATTTGAGATAATATCAGACCAAATTTTGTAGAAGTGAAAAAGCATACATTCATAAATGCGAATTGAAGCGAACCAACGTATATTTTATCTAATTATAGGACTAATAAATGGAATCGCATTTAAGACATCGAACTCCGACATACGTAAGATGGCACGGCATCCAACAGACGGCAATGGAGTCTATCTAACAATGGAGTCTACCTGGAGAATCAAGGCCATCGGCATATCTTTGAATTCTATTTAGAAACTCAAATGAACGCTAAACTGAACATCTACAAAACCAATTTAAGCAGTAGTTATCTCAAAAGTACTCTAAGTACAATGACTTCGCGGAGTTCGCGGACTTCGCGGAGTTCGCGGATTTCGTGGACTTCGCGGACTTCGCGGACTTCGCGGACTTCGCTGACTTCGCTAAATTCGCAATGAAACACATGAAAATAGCCCTTAACCAATAAATTTTTACTTGTAATTTATATTGTTGGGGGACTAATAGTATATATAATTAGAATATAATTAATATATAATTAATATAGAATATAATTAATATATATAATTATATATACTAACAGTATATATAATTAGAATAATTAGAGAGAGACTAATAGTATATATAAATAGAGTTTTCATATAATAGAGTCCACTGATATTTTTATTAGTGATTTTTCGGTCATATAATAAGAATATAAATAAATGAAGTTCTACTGAAGTAACAAGAAACAAATTCAGATTAAAAAAGAGGAATTCGTTAAAAATACCTTTCATGTGACATTATAACTTGCGTTGAACCTGATTAAATCTAAGGAAGATTTTCCTCTATCAGGTTTTGACATTACGAGGAAAAAGCGATTAAACAAAAAAATGAGGGCATCCTCAAACAAAACAATTGGATTATTCTACTTAATCCTAATCCCGGATTAGGCTTTAAGACTAGCACACACAAATTAACCATTTAGGTAAATTTTCACACACAATTTAACCATTTAGGTAAATTTTCAAACCAAACTTTCTGCTACAGGTATTCAAACGCGCTTTTAAATGACCAGATCAGTAATCTGCCGGTAGTACATTTACTGAAGCTGGTAAGTACATTTACTGAAGCTGGTAATCTAGCTAAGAGTTCAGAGTCAGTGCGGTGAAATTTTACTTTAAGAAAATAAAAAAAATACTCGAGGATTTTAATGCTCATAATTATTGAAATTGACTTCAAACAAAATCTTTTTCAAACAATAGAAGACAACGACTGTACCACATTGTTAAATTTGACACGTGTTCCGACCAGGGATCTCTAACATACGATAGAGCAAGACACTTTATTATAGCTCTCTCCCACTTTGTTCGTCATTTTCACAAAGAGCAATCTGAAGTTCTGTTTACTTCTCCAGTTCACTACTACACTACAAATTTCTGCATGTTACAAAAAAATCCTTATTCAAATTCTCAAAAAGAAAAGGCTATTTCCTTATCGCATTAGTTCTGTAATTATCTCTTCATCCTTAATACAATAGAAATAAAATAGTATTCCTTAATTATAGCCACTATGAAGCAAATGGTGACCTTGATCATTCCCAGAGAAAGAGAAGAGGTTCTCACACCGAAACACAGAAATGTTCCACAATGAGACCAGGAATATGACAGAGTTCTACAATATACAAAAATATTCCTGAAAAAATGAAAACATACAAGACATTTAAATCATTGGTAAGTCTATAAGAAGCAAATAATTCTCACAGAAAGACAAAAAAAAGAAGATTCAACTTTAAATAAATGATCATCCAGCTCGATAGAAATAGAGACTCAATTTGTCTGGCACACTTTAAAACTCAGATACACCAGATTCTTCTTTTTTAATCCCAATATCTGCCAGAAATTATACTTATTATGAATCGCTCCCATTTCCTAATTCTGAAACATTCAGGTTTCACACATAAATTTTCTATTCACCATAGAAAAACAAAATTACATATTCCGCAAGTTAAATTCAAACTAAGTCTTAAATTCAAATGACAGAGATAATAACATGATTTTTCATCTACTAGATAACTGGGAGAAGCTCTTATTCAACTGGACAATGGTAGGACAGAAAATACTGTAAGTAAAAAGTATTTCTGTATTTCTACTTACAGAAGTATTCTGTAAGTAGTATCAAAAGTAGAGATACAGAACAGAAAAGAAGCATTCTACCACTCAATTTGGTTTTCAGAAATGTAACATAATTGGTCTAATCCTTTCAGCAAGAAGCAACCAGAAGCGGAAAAGCCTCAGTGGTCATATTCATAGATATATCCATCTTTCCGGATATTTTAATTAATAGAAGTGACAAAGAACTTCCTCTCTTACGTCAAAGAGATCTAGTCAATTTTCACACGTGGACATTGGATTGCAACAGCATCTCACCAGGTTTCAATAGGAAATAAGGAAATTCCCTAAGATAAAGTTCTTAATCTATAGTTCTTAGTAAACATCTCCAACTCAATCAGAATCATTCAATACACAGATAATATTGATACCGGCTTTAGATTTACAATAAGCAAAAATTATTATAATTTCGTTCTGAAGCGCACAATTCTATAGGGAGCAATAAGGAATTCACAAAATTTCTAACAATGTATATAGATCAAGCTTTGAACTTTGATATCCATATAAATGATGCGTATACAAAAATAAGAAAACGTGACCAAAACCATTCGTACATAGAGCAAAGACGGATTCATGTTATACAAAAGATGAAAGATAGAATACAGCATTACCTAGCTAGTAAAACCTATAAGAATAAAATAGAAAATGTTCAAACAGCAACTTGTTCTTGTTTAGGAAAACCAGGCTAGTAAATGCTACTCTAACACGTCAAACTCCTTCGATTTCAGCAAAGAGTTAGATAGCATAGGTCTTGAATATTTCATAATCGCATTAACTATTGTCAACCAGTTCTTATTAACTACAAAAGCACTTGTGCCAGCCTTCTAAAAAATCTCCTGAGATCCAAGCTTTCCTTGGAGAATACCGCTTTACATCGATACTAATCTGCAATCTATTCAGATTACTCTCTTCCAACCACCTTTACTCAACTCTTCCACTTTATACTAGTGCTTTGAATAAGTCAATTTAAATAGGTCAAACTCTAAAAGCTAGCAGAAATATCAATCAGGCTTTGAAAATCTTGTCCAATTTAAATGTTCGATCTTTCACAAATGGATCAAAATCTTCTAACAACTCAAGAGTGAGAGCAGCATGATTCTACCTTAGTCTCCACATTGCAGAAGCAATTAGTGTTACTAATCAGACCTTCAGTTTCACAGCTGAAAGTATTACCATCAAGTATAGCTTTGAAAACACCACAGATAAATCCTTTGTGCTGTGCTCTGAGGCGCTCAGTGTTTTACAAGCCATCATGAATCCAAACAACCATAAAAAATCCCTTATATTTGCAATCTCAAAAGAAAAATAGCTTCACAAACAGTTCTTCTTCATTATTCAATAAACCAATGATTTAAAGTAGGTATCAATAATAATAAACAAATAATCACAATTTGGAATACCGTGGAAAAGATAAAAAAATTATTATTTATACATATTTGATTATTTATTTGAACTATTAAAAAAAATTACAAATAATTATATACAAAAAATATATACTATAGACATGTAATATAATATGTAATTACATAGTACATAAACATTTAAAAATATTAGAAAAGATTAATTGAAATATAATATTTTTATTAGTAACACAATTAAATGTGAATTAGATATGACATTTTTTTCCTGTTTTTATATTATGAATTAGTGAATTATGACAGGGTTAAATAAGTCTGATCAAAATAATTTAGCATTCGTGTAAGAGTTAATATAAAATATGAAGTATAATATACATAAACTTTCGTTTATAAACGAATCGTTTTATGGAAATTTTGTGAAATATAGTAGTAGATTTTGTTGAAATTTTATATAAATAAAATGATTGTAAGAAATAGTTGAAATTTTGTTTTTAGGAATGTTTTTTTATAAATAATATCATGTATTAATCAAATACTATATATTATAGTTTTAGAATATACTACATACAAAATCTATTATGAATTTGTAAAACAGGCTTTATTTGATAATGGAATGATTTCAATTATTAATTTCTCAGTATTGGAAAACATTGTACGAATGGAAATGGAAAACACTGTAACGAATGGAAAACACTTTTAGATATCGTATCACGTTACTTTGATCATATAGTTGCTGTAGTTCTCTAATTCACCGTTTCTACTAGAGTGCGCTAAAAAACCGAACACAGCAACATGATCATCACCGACGAGTGATTACCTCGTCTGTGATGATCATATACCTCGTCTGTAGTAGTGTACCAACTTTTTACCATGCGATAGTTCAGAACATGTGACACGAATTCCCACGAGGTATTAAGTTTATTCTATATTTCATTTGTGCAAGGTATCATATATCATCTTATATATGTATGTACCTCATTACAGATGAATCTGTGTTGTTCTGTGTTTGTTGAATTTCGTTTGTGTTATTCCGAATTTTTCTACTGAATCGATAAAATTGAAAGCGACAATGATAATAGCGATAAAGAAGAATTAATAGATATACCTGTGTATAGGTATACCCTGTAAGAATTAATAGGTATACCTTATTTTCATAAGTGATTTCATCATGGACACATTTAATTAAATTAATAAATCATAGCACTATAAAAAAATGAATTAATAATGATAATTATAACTTTTTAATGAAACTAATTATTAATGAATAATTATAACTTGTTTCTATATTATAACTATATGTTGAAAGTGCTATTAAAGTAGTACAAAGATTTTGAAATTTAAAAATTATGAGAAAAATATATTAAGTACTAAATCTGTATATTACATCTATGATGAAACCTAAAACTTTTTATGGATTTTATACAGTTTTATCTTATCAACTATTTTATATTATCAACTTGGTTTTATACATTCTTATCTTATCAACAATTACAACTGTTTCTGTAATTTTAGAGGGAGCAATTTAAAGTACCAAACAGTCAAATAAAGCTACCAAATAGTCAAAAAAAATTTTTAATTTTACTGAAAATAGAAGAATTTTTTTTCTTTAAACATCACAAAATAAAACAATATAGAATTTTCGTGTGCAATGAAATTAAATTATTATCAAGACTAATTATTAAGACTAAAGTATTCTTATTGTAATAATACATTTCAATAAATCGTAAGAAAATATTTGAAATACATTTCTGATGAATAAGATTATACTCCTTATTATGTTCTATTAGATTATTTATTATTGCATAAATATATGTATTTTTATTATTTATTATTGCATAAATATATGTATTTTCTACATTTTTGTTTTTTTGAAACTGAAAATCAATCAAATAATCTATCATTATTGAAATCCAAATACAAACGCGATATAAATTTTACGAATTATGTTACGCATTTTATAATAATATCGAAAATTTCAAGCTCGTGGTAGAAGCACGTATGCGAAAATATTTGGAGTTTAAATGAGATAGATTCGCGCGTTGATTGGTGCAGAGGGAGATGTGGTATTTGGTGCGCAAGTCAATGGTGATTGGCTGTGATTGGCAATGGTAGTTGGGATAGTCCAAATTCAAGCGAAGAAGCGGCAGTTAGTATAGCGACCGTCGAGCACTTGTAAGCGCATTCGTAGCTGAGTAGAACTATAGTATAATTTTTGTTTTCAATCGTGTTCCGTTCTCAGGAGCGGTTTGTCATCATACTTGTCTTCCGTTTCAATTCTCTCGGTACAATTTGCGATAGTCATTTTTTTGTTCAAACACGAAATTAGAGATTTCGAGTTTTTTTTAATAGTTATATTCCGACATTGTCGTGATACGTTCTGTGACGGCGGTGAACATCATCCATTACTATGATGATCGACTGACGTAGATTATTCTTCCACGTCCCTACGGAATTGTCAAAGATATTAGAAGGTTAGTTTTTGTTTTATTTTATGGAATGTATAAAATATGTATAAAACAGAATGTAACAGAATATGTATAAATGTAAGAGAATTGGTGCGAATATTAAATACAGACATAAACAGAATATAAAAAATGTATAAATGTAAGAGAATTGGTGCGAATATTAAATACAGACATAAAAGTTGTGTAATATATAATTCGTACGTACCGTACGTACAAATCTAATTGAAATTAGACTTTTGAAAGGAAAATGCATGAAGGAATATTAAAAGATATTAAAAGTTTTCGTGACAATGCAAAATCAAAATCTAAAAAACACTAAATAAGTATAGATTTTCTATTATATTCTGTTTGATAACATCTGTCATGTTACTGTCATAGTAGAATTGATCGCTGTTGCATTTTATACTTTTTCGAATAATGCAAGAAATTTTTCGCGTGATCTATCATTTATTATTTTCATTCGTGTCTCTTAGTAAATCGTTTTTATTATTGAACATTTTGACGACACTTATTGATAGAAGTTTAATTTATTTAATACGTAACACATATAACTAATAAAATGTATAACAGAGTAGTATAGAAATAAATTTTTATTTTTCAATTTTTATTATTTAATAAATACGTTAACGTACTTTGTAAACGTACATTACGCAAAAAATTATACGCGACATAAAGTAAAATTTTTTACTAACGTAAAATATTTTCTGCTTTCTTCAAGATATTTTTC